TCACCTACACCGCGGCCGGCCGTCCGAATCAGCCTTTCTTCACTCACAAACAACACACCCGCAACAGACTCCACAAATTGCAGCTTAATCTCCGAGGGAGTTCAGCGACGTGCTCAGCTCAAGTAGTCGTCACCTGCTTAACAGTCCGATTCCACAGATTGTCTTCATCCGGGACGACATCCAAGTAAGCGTCTATGGTACACATACAAACTTGGTCTGCAGTCCATCCGTCGTCGGCGTCGACACTACAAACGGGTGAATTTCAAGGAGTAAGCCACGCACCTTGATATCCGCCTCTGCCGTTGGGCCTCAGGCCAGCGCCCGACGCGTCCAGGTCGCGCACTAATGCAGGCCTGATGTCCACCTATCATGGTCGAAACGCCCGTGCAGACGGGTGACGATCTCCTGGTAGTCCGGCTCGTTGTCGGGCGTGATGATGCCCTTCCTCACCATGAAGTCTATGAGCACTGCCCTGCCGGGGGGTGTGAGCGTGTCGTAGGGTTTTGTCTGGGGGCATTTACAGAGCCAACACAACACGAAGGGGACGTGCCTGTAGCGCAGTTGTACTTGAAGAGCCCGGTCCGGATGTGCTCGATCACTACTGAGAGCGGAAGAAGCTTGGATGATGGCGTTCGGTGAGACGAGGGAAGGTAGCGTGGCGAGCGGCACGCACCTCAAAGGACTCGACTTCGCCATCCAGTGGTTCAGGCTTCACGCCCGAGCCAGGCGGGAGACAGAGGTCATACACGTACCTGCCACAACACATCACTCAGTACCGCAGCGCATCGCAGGAGCGCAACGCAGGCTGCTCACTCAATCTCCGGCTGCAGCCATCCCCGCGGAGTCCTGCCGGCTCATCATCCCTCACCCGCACGGGGCGGCGCACACATCCACACAAACCGCTCACCTGAAGAAATAGCTGACGCTCCCTGCCGCCTTCGCGTGCCTCCTCACCACGTCCGCAGGGATGCTCGCCTCCTCCATCGACTCCTTCACCACGCAGTCGAAGACCTTCATGCCCGCCTCGATGCCCCCTGCGACGCTGTTGTCCAGGTAGCCCGGCCACGTCTGCTTCGTCGCCGCCCGTCTGGGCACCCACACGTTATAGTCCACGACCGTGCCATCCGCAGCGCGCACGTCCTCGTACACCGTCATGTGTATGCCGTACGTGACGATCCCGAAGAGCCCGCTCGCCGCACGCTCCATCTCGAACGCGTAGTTGAGCGCGTCGCCCTCCCCGTCTGCGGGCCCCTCTTCGCTCGGGTAGTCGCGCGGCCCGAATGGGTCGCGGTAGATGGGGTAGAGCTCCGCGCGCCACTTGCGCGGGCCCACTTCGTCCGGCCAGAGCCCGGCGTCGCGCCAGCGCTCGCAGAGCTCCTTCATGACGCGCGAGCGCGCTGCGGGGGTGTCGATGCCGCGCGCGAAGCTGACCCACCCCCGCGCGCTGGTGCCCTGTTCGAGCGCGGGGTCGGAGAAGTGCCACGAGGGAGAGGGAGAGGACGCGTTCTCGCTGCGGAGCTGGGCGACGATATCTGGGCGGAGGAGGCCGACGGCGGGGGAGGTGGGGGAGGGGAAGAGGAGCCAGGGGACGAGGGGCTCTGTGGACTGGGCGGTGGGCGGTGGGAGACGGAAGTTGTCGCAGTTGACGAGGATTTGGAGGAAGCACTGGGGCGCGGTCGGGGTGGGCGGGGGCATGCTGGCTGTGGCTGGCTATGGCACGCACTGCAAATCGGCTGTGATATTGCAGAGACGTCCGCAGGGGATGCTAACGTCGAGGTGAGTGTGCGTTGTTGTGAACTTGTATGTAGTCAGTGAGTCGGCCCTGCGTCGGGGCTATCGGATAAACCATTTATCGGCCGCGGTATCACTGCGCGGCGTGACTTGACAACGTCGAACCGTGCGCGTGAACACCTCCATCACACGATATCAATAGCTGCTGGAACTGAACTGCTGTCGGCGCCATATTGGTGCACTTAGGAGGGTGATGGGAGTCAGATGCGCTTAGCTACATCTACTCGTAAGTAACGGCAATGGACATGTCCTGCAGGCACCGCCACCGCCACTAGGTCCCTAGGTCCCCAGGGAGTTTGACTTCGTATCGCACCGAATGAATGTTACTTTGACTGCTAGCTTGACTCCGTAGATTCTACAGGACACCCTCTTCGCAGTCATGCCTGCTCCTATTTCACCAGAGCTGATCTTCGAGGTCTCTACTCCGTTACCATCATCCCCGTGTCGCTCCGCCCTCAGAGTCTCGTCGCTAGCGTGCCAGTCGACATCATCTCTTTGTGGTCTCGGATTATCCTCGACTGCTTGGTGCGTAACCTTGCACACATCTGGCGGAACTATACACCTCGCTCGAATGGTAGAGGATCTGCATCTCAACCCTGGTTTACATGGCCGCGCGTTCCCTAGGAACTACCTCGCGTTTCGTCCGCAAGTTTGCAGGTTATCTACCGAGCCCATCCCGTCGTGTCCTCATCACCGCTCTGTCGCAACCCCCCGCTATCCGTGTGCTGACATTCGGAAACGTCTTCTTGCCCTCGTTCAGCGCCTTCGGTCGTGCCATCGCCGCGCTTCACTCTCTCCCCAGTCTTGCGCTCCGCAACGGCCGAATGCTGGCCCAGCTCCGCAGGACATAGCTGCGTCAGCCTTTGCTCATAACATCCCACGACTCGTTATGCTCGCTGAAGTCCTCAAGTTGCTTGAGCATGACGGTGCAAGTGTCCCCGAGCTCGTTGTATGACCGGCCGATGTCTCGAAATGGACCAGGGACGGGATGGCAGGCCGACATGGCTGGATTCCGCCCCCCAAAGGGCCAGTTCGGCGCACGCAAAGTCGTCGGTTTCTTCCTAGCTCCTATACACTGGGCTATATTTGTCAGAGCCCGGGCCACGAAACACAGGCTCGAACTCGTGGAGGTGAGATTGCCCAGGATCGCACTCCACTTCTTCCCGAGCGAGTGCGCAAGAGGTCCCCGCACCCGGCGTAACGTCCGCATGGTGGTTTCCATTGACACCTATGATCATCGCCACTCCAGGAAGGTGGCAAGCTCTCCGCGCGCATACCTCACCTTTGCTCGAGATCCTGGCAATTGTATTTCGAGCGACGTGAAAGTGGCCTAGGTGATTTCTCCCTCGGCTCTCATTAAAATACTTCATTACCCACAGGGGGAACGCAGACAAGGGTTGCATTATCGGTTATATTTGACTACTTACCCAACAGCATTTGAGATGCACTCCATGTTGGGAAGTCCCGACCGGGATTGGCCATCTGATCTCGACTGTATTTTCGTTCATGGAGTGCTAGGCCGTCGATGAGGGAGAGAGAAACGGCCTCTCCCGGCTAACATCGACTGGAGCTTACTTTTCCTCGCCCTGGATAAGACCTTTACAGTGATTAACGGGTCCTTGGGACAGTCAAATCTTGGTCCCTGTATTGAGCCGACCTCTGTCCCTTCTGTTAGAATCGGAGTAGGTAGTTGCATGAAGCATCATATGAAGTATTCTAATCTGTAATTTTGGGATGAACCAAGGGCGTATGAAGCAGATCGAGGCAACTGTTGTGAAAATTCCGTTATCGCGCCTCCTCGGGACTAGCGCTTAATTTCCTTGTAGGACGTTAGCCGAGACCCGATATGGGTAAGGTTGGCCCAACGAAGATTCGACCCCATCACGTGATTATCACGTGAGCTTGCGAGGTCCCTCGCTGCTTTCCCCTCCCTCTGCATTGAGGAAAAAACTTGGATAGGCGGCATGTATGGTACCACAGAGCCTATAGCTCAATTGTATACGAGCCGATACCCCGAAATCGCAGTGGAGGGGCGGGACACGGACAGTGTGACAGGCGTGACGGGAGGTGTCGAATCTTCGTTGGGCCAACCTCAAGTAATTGACATCTAAACGCCCGTCCCAAGGAGCGAAGGACCACTCGTCCCGCCGTTTCAACGAGAATCCAGGTCCTCCCATTGTATATCACCTCTTATAAGCTGAGAACAGAATGATAAAAGTGCAATATATATGCATAGCCACTTTTTAGGAGGATCTGCCATAAAAGGTATGCAATATCTTACCGTGAACCAGTTACACAATTGCTTTTCTCGGGAAATCCTCTACAACAATGGGGGCAGCGACTCCATGAATCCGTCTGATCATCTGAAATTCAGGGGTAGTACAGGTGCAAGGATATTATATACATGTATGAATTACTATTGGTCAGTGGATTGGGAGGGGAGCGGCAAATTGGGCAGTGTCCCAAGGACCCGTTAATCACTGTACGGGCATAGAGATGGTTACATACAATCCATGATATCGCCCGCCTAGCTCAATCGGATAGAGCGTCAGACTCTTAGGAGCTGTAGAATCAGCGGGTGATCTGAAGGCTGCGAGTTCGACCCTCGCGGTGGGCTAGAATATACTTTTTGCCGATGTCGGAGGTGATGTTCTGAGTGAGGTGATGTTCCGAGCGACTGACTCATTTGGTGAAAGTGACTCATCAAGCTGAGCTAGCCAAGCAATCATCGGGCAGACCCTCGATGATATGACTATCCACGACATCGCATGTTACCATGAGATTGCCTGGTATGTTCGGTACTTAGATATGAGATTCTCTGCGAGACTACAGCTCTCCCCAGTCAAGTGATATAGACGCTCAAAAATCATCTCGGGCCGATGATGGCCCCTTTCTTGGGAGTCAACTTCCATCACTCCGCCGATCGAGATCAAACTCCAGTGCCCCTGTGAATGCAGAATGCCCTTCTCTTATGTCGTTGGTGAGCTTGATACGTTGACCTTCATTGAGTCCGATCCCAACCAGCCCCCAGAGCACATGGAGGAGGACGAGAATACGCCGAAATCTCTGCCAAGATGGGTAGAACTTGAGTACATGGTATGCAAATGCCAGCTTCCAGCCCCTTGAACAGCATTCTCATGTTGCACCGAATCAGCACATGCGCACGCTGGCTGGACACGGGGCAACTGTGCACTTCACGCACCTCTCCGAGTCGTCTTCGAGCACACTCACGTCCCTTTTCGGGGACACAAAACCTTCGCACGCGAGCGCATACGCGCACCGAAAACCATTGCTTGAGCTCATGAAAGAGAAGGACGTGTCACTGGAGAAGGTCTGCTTGCTAGATCCGAAGGCGGAGAAGGAGTTGGGACCGGAAGACGGCGACGGGCGGTTCGAGTGGTTCTTGTTTGGGGTAGGTCAAGCATATGCACAGGTAGCATACCCGCGCGCTGACCACAAGGATCAGGGAATCCTTGGTCTGTAGCCTTTCAAGCCGCCATTGAATCTCGCTCGTTCTGATAATGTTCGCAATGCGGGCTAGGAGACGACCCTCCACGAGACAGGACGTCCGAGCTGCGGGCCCTGGGCTTCCCCGGCCGACACCTGGGCCCCGTGCAGATGACTACAGACACCGCTCTCGGGGTCACGAAAATTGTGGTACAGGACAAGAGTGAGTGTGTTCTCCGAGCCATCCCTTTCGCTGTGACTGACGCTCGAGTCTATGCAGCTCCCCTGTCCAAGATTCCGTATATCGTGGGTCCACCTAGTCAATTAAGCTTTTCCAGCTGCAGGTCATTCCACTGACGCACCTCTATAGGACTTCCCCACCATCACGTTCAACGCGAAGGAGAGTGTCGAGATGCCGTTCCGTAAGTTCGATCCCGCTGTGGCGACGTTCGTGGCCATTGAGTCTGAGGAACATGTCAGGCTACATAGCCCACGGACAGGAACCCACACTTCCGCCTGGTATGCGCGACCATCTGAAGGAGGACCTGGACAAAAGTTTCGACTTTTGATCTCTGATAGAAGCTTGGTACACGTTGTACCTACGCATCCCCCAACACGCGTCCTGTCCATGTCTGGCACCCAGTGGTTCGGCGAAAGTCTAGGTATCGATGAGGTGTCTTTAGCCAGTGAAGCGATCGTCATCATGCGGTAAGTCCTTTGCCCTAGAACTTCCGTTGCACTCTGACTATATAGTTCACCTGGTGATCAGTAAGAATCTTGACTGTCAAGAAGAATTAGCTTACGTCCTAAAGTACTAAGGTTCAGTCAGAGCTAATCCAATCAGACTTTTGTTTCGCACGGAGTACACATCCAAGTGTATCCCGAGTCCTTTCTGAGATCACGCACACTTCTCTCAAGGTCAGGTGGGGTATTCAGGAATGAGCTTCGTGAGCGTGCCTCTCAAAGCTCAATATATATAACACCGCAGGTGGTAGAGCACGTTCGTCGGCCTTCCTCATCTCCTTCCACGTTACATTCCCACTCATTCCGAAGCATGATCGAGGGCGCACAGAGCGAAGTAGGGAAACATGATGAGAAAGAGCAAGTTCACGATGTCGTGATCGGCGTCCTCTTGGTAGAACCCGATGAACGATCGCCGATCGCGAAAGACGAAGAGAAACGGCTGGTGCGCAAGCTGGATCGCAGGATTATGCCTATGTTGTGCATCTTGTATCTCCTCTCTGGTGCGTTGTCTATCCTCGTGTCTTGTAGCTGACATTCATGCATCTGACCCCGCTACCGTAGCTCTTGACAGAGCCAACCTAGGAAACGCGCGCCTGCAAGGTCTTCCGCGAGACGTCCTACACGGAGATCCGACAGGCGCTCTATTCGACTGGGCAAACTCGGCGTTTTACTTTTCATACGTACGCACCCTCCTCTCACCGTCGTGCCCTTCGTGAACACCTTATCGGCGAAGGCAGGTTTTCTTCCTGGTTCCCGTACTCATCCTCTCGAAGTTATGCCCTCCCCGCATGTGGCTGGGGTGTATGATGATTGGATTAGGACTATCATCAACGCTGATGGTGCGCTGCATCCGCATCCTGCGATCTCTGCTCTCATTTGACTAGTCATGCAGGCCTCTGCATTCAACTTTCCGGGACTTATTGTCGCTCGCCTAGCCCTAGGATTCTTCGAAGCAGGCTTTAGCCCCAGTTTCCCTGTCTACTTGTGTGCGCATCTTACGCCCTCTGCGACAAACCTAAGCCTGTCCCTGCTTATATGTCGCGCTCTAGCTCTTTTCTATACCAGGGAAGAATTCGGGTTCCGTACGGCATCCTGGTTCATGTTCTCAGCAGTTGCTGGAGCGTTCGGCGGGTTGATCGCCTTCGGGATCCAGCACATCCACGCGGCGATCGCCAGCTGGAGGCTGCTGTTCATTGTCGAGGGCGTCCCGTCGATTTTGCTGGGAATACTGGCGTTCAAAATTTTGCCTGACAGGCCGGAGGAAACTTCGCTGCTGACCGAACGGGAGCGTGAGATCGCCGTGGATCGTATGAACAGGGGTGGGAGTGCTGATGTTGGAAGAGTCCTTCAGAAGAGTATGTGCTCAGATCGACTTCTTGACGCACTATTGATGTTCCTCCTGATGACCTTCCCGCGAACAGGACACATAGCGATCGCCTTCCGCGACTGGAAGGTGCGCTGCGACGTCTTCGACTGTAGTTGCACCATCCTTGCTAAGTTGTTCGTTTAGTTGTACGCGGGTGGCGTGACGTACTTTGCAGCAAATTGCGCCTTGTCCAGCATTCAAGGATTCTTGCCAACCATCATTGCAAGCTTCGGCTTCAGTGAGCAGAGTCGTCCCTTGGCGTGCGTTCTTAGTACGCTGACGCATTCATATAGCCGACGCCGTCGCGCAGATACTGACCGTTCCCCCGTACATGGTAGCTGCCTTGGTTCTTTGCGTCACCACCTACGCCTCGGATCGGCTGCAACGTCGCGGGGTGTTCCTTGCAGGCACAAACGCCGTGGCAGGGATTGGATACATGTTCGCAATACGTTGCCTTCTTTGGGATCTGAATTGACCATCCGATGCTTCTTCTTGCTCTGCAGTCTACTCTTGGTCTTTCCATCAAATGTCGGCGCGCGGTACTTCGCCACGTTCTGCACCGTAGCCGGGACGTACACGAACATCGGACTCATTCTTACATGGTGTACGTTTCCACCTCACGGTGTCCACGTGGGCACCACCTAACCATAATGCCGCAGTCTCTCATAACCTCGGGTCGGAGACCAAGCAGGCAGCGGGCATACCTCTGTACATGTCCATCGGCCAATGCGGGAGCATACTGGGTTCACACTTGTTCCCATCTCCCGAGGCACCTCGCTATATGTCAGTGGTTATAGATCACATGCATCTACACCAATCACTGAACTCCGTGACGATGGCAGAAAAGGGTTTGCGGTTACTTGCGGTCTGCAATTCCTCTCCGTAGCTGTCGCCCTTGTACTTGCCGTGAGTCTCCCGAAGTGCTTTACGGACGCGCGCTGAACAATTGGATGCTGCAGACGTACTACGTATGGGAGAATCGACGCCGAGACCAATTATACGGCAAGCCGGTTCCCGAGGCTGTGGTAGACGTCTCTGAACTGGCAGATGAGGTATGAACTGTGCTGGCCTGACCTTTCAGGCACACCGGATGCATCCTGACGAGGTGACCCTGTCGTGCAGGCACCCGACTTCCGCTACACCCCCTGAGCTCGTCGCTAGCACGTTACGAGCCAAGAACTCACCAATAGCACTGACTGGTGGAAATTCGTCTATTACGGATGTCCTGTTCCGTAACTCAATTGTCTCGTCCCCTGAATTGCTCCTGCCTGTTTTCTGGTACTTTGAAATGGTGCCAATCTGGGTGGTGACAGTAAGGTCGGTGCTCGAGAGAAATCGCTGAATCCATCTCTTCGGCTTGCGAGTAGAGCACGAAGGATGTCTCTCGCGCTCGATGGAACATATCATGACGGACAAATCGTACGACTCAACCCTGCAGACGATTACATCGGAACGGGGGTACAATGCAGGATATTAAAGTCATTATAAAGTTGCGAACAATGTATAGCACTCAGATATACACGCCTGCACCTGAAGAGCCGTGAACTTGAGAACGAGATGCAAATGTTCTGGCGTACCTGACAGCAGCCACCACAACGCGACAGATACGAGATGAAGATACGGCATACGGAGGGTACGAATCATGTATCTCCCCGCTCCCTCTCTGGCTTCTGCTCTTCAACCACTAACCGCCATCCGCCATATAGCTGGTTCACAATCGCACTACGCTTGAGCACCGCTAGCTCCTTCGCCTTCTCGCTGTAGAAAGCAGACAGCTTGGCAGGATCGGTCTCGTTCTACAGACAGGTGAGTTATCTCGTGGGTGAAGGTGAAGCGTTAAAGATGCCGGCATACCTGGATCTCTCGGAACGTGCTCTTCGTGCGGCGAACGAAGTAAGTCCTGAAGTTATACGAGCTGAAGGACTGCGAGGTCTTCAGCATAGAGTGGTAGAGATGCAATATTGATTGCTTTGTTGGAGCGGTAGCCATGGCTGTAGTGGTGGTCGGGAGTCGAGCGACGTCGGCGCGGGCTCGCTCAGCAGCCGGCATGCCATTGATCACGTCATCAATCGTGGATGGGAGCCGCGTCTTGGGCGTCAGCACGCTTTGACCATGGCCACTACATCCGATGACTCGACGAGGACTGCGAGGACCACATTCAACGGCTCTCATCTGCAATCCGCGATATAGATCTTGCTCGATTGTGCCATGAATTGATTTACTTCGCAGCCTGACGCGTCCCAAAGGAACCCCGTACTTTGTGGATGGAGTCATGCATGAGGAGCTACAGGTCCCAGCACCGTCAGACACCGTCGCGCTTGGGCTAAGGCCTCGCCCATGTACGTCCTCGAGGCGAGCTGACAGGTACGCAACAGTGCCATCGACAAAGGTGCCACTTGCTCATCCTTTGTCCACACGTGTAGCTTTTCAAACTCCCTTTGAGAGAACTACTCGAGATCCGCCTCGTTGCTTTTGTCGCGACGACCGCTTTGCCGCTTTGCAGGAAAGATATGTGGCCCAGTGGTGATGCGATTCAGTGTCCTGCAGGTATATATATTCTGTCTCCTGTCCTCATCATGACCCCATCTCTCTGCGACCTGTCTATCGTACTGTAAGTCTCAATCAGCGGCCCATGCACAAACTGCCCATTGACCGCGACACTGAATAGGTCCTTCCCGTTAATACAAGATTGTTTGCCCCATGTCGCGGAAGCCATCCTTCGTGAACCCCTTCGTGCGAGTCGCACGGAAGTCTGCAGCTTCTGCGTGGCCAACACCGGAGCGTCCACTAGACCTCGATTCGCCGCCTCGAGACCAGATCCACTCACCGCTGTACACTCCTGACCACCGTGGTCGAAGTGCGTCCCAAAATCAAGCCCCGGCCCCAGGTAGTTTTATGGACGTCGAACGCATGGAAGCGTCACGCGTCGATACCTATGGCATGCCAGCCACCCAAGCCTCTTCGCGAACGCCTCGGTTCTCAAACGTTGGTGTTCAGGTTGCCGCTGATGGAGAGTCTGGGGGTGTTGCGCCTACACGCAAAGGCTCGCTTCCTAGGATCAAGGAAGCGGGACGTATGTTCCTCTTTAGCAAGTTACTCGGTCGCTGGGCAAAAGGGAGACACGACTCCGTGTCTTCCGCAGAACCCCAACCAGCCCAACCTTCCCGACCGGTTTTGCGACCCCGGAGTCCTCAGCGTCCTACACAGCCTACAGGCGAAGACTTATCGTCCGAGGTGTTAGAATGGGGGAGATACGTGATGGAAGCGGGTCAGTATGCACTCGCACCATTGCCTGCCCCCGCTCCCTCCACTCCACTCGCGAATAATGTCGTTCCGTTCCCGAAGATGGTGAGCACAGAGGCTGCATCAACGGAACGCGCCGATGTTCGTCGAGCCCCCATCCACTCCTCGCGGCCGCCGCTCCCCGGTCCGCCTCCTCCTCTTCAGAGCCCCTCATGCCCTCGGTCCCAAGCCCCTTCCTCCGCCTCTCCTCCCCCGTCGACGGCTCCATCTCCGTATGAGTCGTCAAAGCATATATCACGGTACTCGTCGCCCTCGAGTGTGTCATCTATCAATCCGGACGATGGTATCCCGGCACGGAAGATCGGCGTTTCCCCCCAGCAGCCCCAGTACCCCCGCACGAAAGAAGCGTACTGGACCGTCGTCCAAACGAACAACATTCACGTGCCGTCCTTGCGGGAGACGAAGTGGCTCACGGCCGGGGTCCTCGGCTGTGGGGGGTTCGCTCTGGTGTATCACGTGTTCAACGTCGCGCTCCAGCGGCCGTGTGCGATGAAGGTCGTGCGCTTCGTGCGGGGCCTGCCGGAGTCGGCTTGCGCGGGGCTCATCAACGAGCTCAAGGTACTTGCGCTCTTGGGCGAGGAGAGGGAGAACTGCTCGCCGTTCGTTCTGCAGCCGTTCATGGTTGACGGGCTTTGGGCGTGGCGATCGACGAGGGGGAATCTGCATATCGTCACGGACGTTTGCGGCGGGGGATCGCTCACAGCCTACCGGTTCCGACTTTCATACCCGTCGCTGGTTCTGGTGATCGCGGAAATTGTACGTCGTCTCGCTGCATCGTCCGCTATGACCTCTCCACTTACCGCTCTATAGGTCCTTGGTCTGCACTGGCTCCATGAGCACGGCATCGTGCACCACGACGTGAAGCCAGGCAACGTGATGGTCAGCGCCAGTGGACATTGCGTACTGGGCGATTTTGGCGGAGCGCAATTCCTGGACCATCGGGGAAAGCTCTCGCGCAACAGCGACTCGTGCATGGTCATGACTACACAATTTGCGGCGCCGGAGATCCTCGTGAGGCTCGATGACGGTCAGGTCAAGGAGTACGATGAGGCGGTGGACTATTGGTCTCTCGGCGCGACAATCGTCTCGATGGTGTTGGAAGAGGTGAGTCGCGTTATGCGAGCTAGTGGGAGTGATGGGCTGACATTGTGGTGCTAGGACTACCTCCCCGGAGCGTCCGAGCCCGCGTTCATGGAGTTTCGTGTTGACAAGATCCAGACTCAATTACGGCGGCGGAATATGCCTGATGATCTGGAAGATCTGGTGATGGATGTGAGTAACAAACTTGGCCTGCATACTCAGGGGCGCGCTTATGCCTTCATACGCAGTTGTTGCGCATGGATCCCGCTAGACGGTGCAGGTACCCCGCTATCATGCAGCAACCGATATTCTACCACACGTACGTGCTCACCTACGTTTCTACATACAGCATCGGCTTATATTTGCGACATAGGAATTGGCAGGATGTCGAGAATCAGGCGCAGGCTGCCATTCCGGCCCTCAGGGATATCGCCGCAAACGCGCACGGATGGGAGTACCCTACGCCGAAGATCCACAAGTCAAACGAGGCGACTGTAGACTTCCTCGCGGCGCTGCGTGAACAGCGCTTATCCCTTGCCGTCGACGACTCGTACGATGTGGATCGGCACAACGCAAAAATGGCGAACTGCCTCTCCCTAGGTTATCCTTTCTGATCCCTCTGATCCCCCCCTCTCGCACTTCATCGCCATCTTCGTATCGCTTTCGTCGTCCTCCTGTTGTATCGCTAACATGTTGTTGCCATTCTTCCTGCTTCACCGAACGCATGGAACTCTAGCTTACTGTATCGCCCATCATACATAACGTCCGTTGTCGCTCTTCTTCCCCCGTTGTTTGTACTTGTGAAATGTTGTGTATCCCTATGTCATCCAACCGAGAGTCTTAGATTGGTTGATCGCAGTGACCGTACGCGTGCGTTCGCGATATTGCGCCAACTAATGAGCGTCTAACCGTGATGTCACTTGCGCTCGTGCTTGCGCGTGGTTGTCGTTCTGCTCTCTTCTGCCCTCGCTCATCCCAGGCTGCACTCTCATTCGGTGTACCCATCTCTGTAAGATGAAGCCGACGTGCGAACAGAGCTCGCGATCGCTCAACCTGGGTTGATAGCGCAACTTTTCTGCTGCCCTCGGACACCATCAAAGTGGACACTCGGACCGCATGCCAATGACACTCTCAACGTTCCTCAAGGAGAGAAATGCGTCCTATCTGGATGCCGTGAAGAGTGGAAAGGCTAAAGATTGGACTGTTGTTGTAGGGAACGAGGCTGGCGGTAGGTGAGATTCCGCTCAGCGGGGAACCGCAGACTGACATCCGCTCAATCAGATCTAGACTCCATCGCGAGCGCGATTGCCTTCGCCTGGTATGCATCGAAGGTGCAAGGTGCCCCCGCGGTGTCTTTGACACAGACCCCTCGTTCCGACCTGCATCTCCGCGCCGAGAACCTGCACGCGTTTGGGCTTGCGCAGCTCAGCCCCGACACCGATATCCTCTGTATCGACGACGTCCCCTACGATTCATCTGGCCCCTTCCCGTCGGCGAACTTCGCGCTGGTTGACCACAACCGTTTGAATTCCCGCTTTACGCGGGGAAACCCTGACGCACGCGTAGTCGCCGTCGTGGACCACCACCAGGATGAAGGACTCTACCGCGAAACCGCAGACCCGCGGCTCATCGTCGTCCCCACCGGCAGTTGCGCCTCCCTTGTCACGCAGCTGTTCGACCAGCAGGCCGCGGCAGACGACATCCCGCCGGAATTGGCGACGCTCCTCCTTTGCAGCATACTCATTGATACTGGCGGACTTAGACCGGGTGGGAAGGCAGAAGCTGCCGATCACCGCGCAGCGAGTCTGCTCATCCCGCGAGCGCAGGCGGCGGTGTTCAACCAACAGGCTTTGGTAGCATCGCCATTGGAGGGTTCAGAACGAGACGCCCAAGCGCAGTCCGGCGTACAAATCAACGAGGCCGCTCCTCACGAGACCCCAGGACTCAAAGAGCTGCATACTACCCTACAGGAGAAGAAGGCGTCTGTCGCGCATCTGCGCACCCACGACCTTCTGCGACGCGACTACAAAGAGTACTCGATGAGCCCGGCAGGCGCGCCGTCGACCGAGATCCAGGTCGGGCTTTCGTCTGTCCCGATCGGCTTCGCGGAGTGGCTGCCGCGCCACGGAGACGACTTCTTTAGGGAGACGGAGCGGTACATGGCGGAGCGCGGGCTCAAGGTTCTCGGTATCCTCACTTCGTTCCGCGACGAGGAACACCCGGGGAAGGACGGTAGAGGGAAGCATCGGCGAGAGCAAATGTATGTCGTGCGAGGGGACAAGGCGCTTGCTGATGCACTGTTCGATGCGCTGGCGGAGAGTGAGGAGCTGAAGCTGAAGCGGGTCAAATTCCCCGAGTACGGCGTGCACAACGGGTTCAGAGACGAGTTCCGCTCCCGGGTGTGGCAACAGAAGAATGTGGATGCGACACGCAAGGCGACGGCACCACTCGTCAAGAGCATCATCGAAGGGAGGAACAGGGGCGCCAGCCTCTAGTTCTCATCAGTACATACCGGTACGTGCTACCTTTATGTCATTCTCATGATCCTTCCTGATCACCCCTGACTTCAGTGAGAGTCCCGAGCGGTAGCGATTGGTTCTGTGCTTGATATGTCTGTTACTCACCAAGGATACCATCGATGTTTTTTCTCGCTGCTCTGTTGCCATCGCTTGCAGCCTTCATTGTTTCCCAGGGCATGGGAGTCATTTGCACGCGCTTGTTTAGAGCGCTGGTTATCTGAGAGTGGGAAACTGGCCCAGTGAAACGTTCCCAAGCTTCGTACGGGCGCATCATACTGCGGTTACCTTATCGTAGGAACCACGCTCTTCGACAATAGTGGATGCACTGAGGGTACGTGTAGCTCGAAATCATTTCAATTATCCGGGTCGCTTTTATGAGTGGGAAGTGATGATCGCGGATGACACACGACGCGGAAGTACAGCTCTTCAAACGGATATGAGACTTGAGACAACCTGTCTAGGTAACCAAAGGGGTATCATTGGAAGCTGGGAAATTGGACTATGGAACGCGATGCACGTTTGGGCGGCTCACGGCAGCGGTGCCGCCGCCACGAAGGTTGCGATGCCGGTCACAGCCCTCAGCCAAATTAAGGTATACACTAACTATTGTGACTGTGACGCTGCCAGTGCCACATCATCCCTGCCCTCGTTTTCAAGCCAGGTTTTGGACGCCGTCATGAGGCTCAGTGCCCGCAGTGCACCGGAAGCAGGGTTGTGTTCTGCGGACGTGCCAAGACTTACACACGCATCTTTCGGCGATCTTGCCAATCCGATGTGCCAATAACACTCGCTCAGTTACTCGGAGACGACTTGGTACGTAGGCTTCCCAGAATCACTCCCTCGTTAACGATGGACGTGTCTGTGACCCTTGCCTCTGATAGTGTCCTCGACACCCGCTAATGCTATCGGTCCTTGGAGCTGTTTACTCTAGACTGCAATTGGAAAACTTGTACGAATCGTCCGCTTGTAAGCCACTTCCTCGCAAGACCGATAACGATACCAAATATATCAATTCCGTTTGTCACAAACGGCTCAGTGACGGAATGTGGCGGATATAGGTTGTAGAGACTCCATGTGAGTGATGCCTCGGTATACTGTTATTTTGCTCCGACGATCACTTTACTCAACTATACACTATTCAGTCAACACTCTTACGCCTAGATGGCGAGAACAGGATACTGGCTGCTCTCACGGCCGCAAGGCTATGTATTAATTGCTATGATGATGACAGCGAAGACCTGATGGATGTTCATTGTTGCCTTCACACAACGCAGCACGTTTCGTAGCAGCCGAGACCTGACTCGGAACGTGCTCCCCACTGCTCACACGATTGTGAAGGACCGCCGGGCGGACGAAGGTGGGTCGCTGCCGTTCGTGCCTGTCGCCGCGTCTCTGTTTCATCACCCCAGTTTCTGTTGTCGCTTGATTGCTGGTAAGTGGATTCCTTGATCGTTATTGGCTGAGCTGTCAGATCTCCTCCCCTGCTGAACCAACTCCTCCGTCTACAGCCGGGCTGCGCAGTATTTCAGCAGAGACCACTCGCAGTATGCAGAGATAAGCGAGGCGTCTTGCAACAGGGTATAAAAGCCATGACCCTCTGCACGTCTCAGGCCTCCTCACCAATTGCTTTCCCTTTCTCCTTCCTCTTGCGTTCCTGGCGGCGTCGTTTTGAGTCCTTGTTCTCCCTGCATCTTTCGTTCATTCTTGACCATAAACGCCGCGTTTATCATGCTCTTCAAGGCTGTTCTCTTAGTTGTCTCTCTTGCTCTCGCTGTCACCGCAGTTCCGCCTCACGTGAAGCGTGCTGCGTGCAGCAACGGCCGTTCTGCCAATGACGCAAGGGTATGTGACATTATGAACAAACTCTTCCCTACTTCTGACAAGTCCTGCAGTGCTGTGTCTGGTTTGACGTTCTCGACGACATCCAGGCCGACGAAGGTCTCTTTGAGGGAGGCCAGTGTGGTGGGCATAATCCTTCACACTTGTCTTGATGCCGAGTCTAAATATATGTCATAGTTGAGGAGGCTCACGAGTCCCTTCGTGTAAGTAAGCCTTTGGTCATCTTGTATGACCACCAACTCACTTGCTTTGCAGTTGACTTTCCATGATGCTATTGCCTTCTCTCCAACTCAGGGGTATGTCTCAGAACTTACAATCCTGTTTGTGCCGTATTTACTGATAGTGATTGTTGGCCACAGTGGCGGAGGAGCTGGTAAGTCCTAACCTTCTTCGATTAGGCGGTTCGCTTACAGTGCCTGTCACAGATGGCTCGATCATCGCTCACTCTGATGAAGAGCTCAAGGACCCGGCCAACAACGGTGTCGACGAGATCATCGAGAAGCTTCGCCCCTTGGCCATCAAGCACAACGTCTCCTTTGGCGATTTGTACGTCATATACTTAAAGACCGAAATCAGTCTACTGAGAACTCTACTGCTTGTAGTATCCAGTTCGCCGGTGCTGTCGGCGTGAGCAACTGTATGGGTGGTCCCCGCCTGCAGTTCCTCGCGGGACGCTCCAACGACTCTACGGCAGCTCCCGCCGGGCTCGTCCCCAAGCCTGAGGACCCGATCGACCAGATCCTCGACCGCATGGCCGATGCAGGGTTCTCCGCAAACGAGCTGGTCGACCTTCTCGCCTCGCACTCCGTGGCTGCGCAGGACACTATCGACCCCACGATCCAGGGGCACCCCTTCGACTCGACTCCGTCGACCTTTGACTCGCAGTTCTTCGTAGAGGTAGGTACTTCGGAGTTCGGTTCTTCGGCCGTGCTGACAATTGCTGGTTGCAGACCCTGCTGAAAGGCACGAGCTTCCCTGGTAACGGCTCCAACGTCGGCGAGGCCGAGTCGCCCTACCCAGGCGAGTTCCGCCTCCTCTCCGACCAGGTTATCGCTCGCGACTCGCGTACGGCCTGCGAATGGCAGTCGTTGTCGCGGCGACTAGGCGCGTAGACTCGGGTCGACGTTCGGCGACGACCCCGTAGGCGAGCGGCGAGGAGCCGAAAGGGGGAAAGCGAGGGAAAGAGGGATAAACGCAACAAGAAACTCGACGGGGCAGAGCGGAGGCCGGCACGAAGGCACAAGACCTACGAAGCTAGTCTTCACGCAGATAGCGACAGACTAGTCCCAATGACCAAGTTATACATTAGCAATCGAAGAGAGATACAACACTATGGTCACTCACCTAGTCCCAATGACCAAGAGGTCGAGATGGGGACTAGGGAGCGCCTAGGGGGGTCCTTATATACTAGAGGGGCTGCTTAGCAACCAAGGACAAGGCGCGAGAGCGAGGCAGTGAAGATGACAAAGGGGGAACAAAGGGCGAGAAAGAAAAGGCAAGGGCATGGCGATCACGGGAACGTAGCATGCGGCTGTGGGAACGTATCTACAGTGTCCAAACTGGGATGAGCTAGGAAAGGAAACGGTCCGGAAATGGAAGGTGGGCGTC